AAATGGAAAAGAAAAAAAAAAAAAGCTGGGGTAGCAAAACTCATATCTGATAAAATAGACTTCAAAGTGAAGGCCATCACAAGAGACAACAAAGGTTACTACATAATACTAAAGGGATCAATCCAACACAAGGATATAACCCTGGCAAACTTATATGCTATGCACCCAATATAGGAGCACCTAAATATATAAAAAATCTTCTAGAGGACTTTAAAGGAGAGATCGACAGCAATACAGACTGACTTCACTGGATTAGATCTTCCAAATAAAAAATTAACAAGGAAATACTGACTCTAAATGACACAGAGCATCCAATGAATTTAATTGACATTTATAGAACATTTCACCCCAAAGCTGCAGAATATACATTCTTTTCAAGTGCACTTTGGTTATTCACAAAGACAGACCACATGTTAGGACACAAAACACGTCTCTACAAGTTCAAGAAGAGTGAAATCTTGTCAAGCAGCTTCTCAGATCACAGTGGAATGAAATTAGAAATCAACTACAGTAAAAACACTGAAAAACATTCAGACACATGGAGGCTAAATATAAATAGCATGTCCCTAAGCAATGAATGGGTTACCAATGAGATCAAGAAAGAAAGAAAAAAACTTCCTGGAAACAAATGAAAATGAACATACAACCACCCCAAATCTTTGGGACACAGCAAAAGCAGTCCTGAGAGGGAAGTTTATAGCACTCCAGTTAAATAGGCCAATAATAACTGATGAAATATAAGCAGTAATAAAAGAATTCCCAGCCAACAAAATCCCAGGAACGAATGGTTTCACAGGGGAGTTTTACCAAACATTCAAAGAAGAACACCCATCCTCCTCAAACTATTCCAAAAAATCCAGAGGAAGGAACACTTCCAAGCTCTTTTTATGAGGCCAGCATTATCCTAATTCCAAAACCAGATAGACACTACAAAGAAACAGAATTACAGGCCAATATCCCTGATAAACATAGATACTAAAATCCTCAACAAAATATTAGCAAAGCGGATCCAGCAATATATTAAAGAGGTCATACACCATGACCAAGTGGGATTTATTCTGGGGATGCAAGGCTGGTATAATATTCGCAAATCAATACATGTGATACATCACATAAACAAATTGAGAGACAAAAATCAATGATCACATCAATAGACAGAAAAAGCATTTGACAAAATCCAACAGCCATGTTTATAAAAACTCTCAGCAAAAGTGGGATAGAGGGAGAATATCTCAACATGATAAAGGCCATATATGACAAACCTTCAGCCAACATCATACACAATGGGCAAAAACTAAAACCATTTCCCTAAGAACAGAAACAAGACAGGGATGTCCGCTTTCACCACTCTTATTCAACATAGTACTGGAAGCCCTAGCCACAGCGATCAGAGAAGAAGAAGAAATAAAAGGCATCCAAATTGGAAGGGAGGAAGTAAAACTCTCATTATTCAGACGACATGATATTGTACATAGAAAACCGTAAAGACTCAAACAAAAACCAACTAGATTTTATAAATGAATTTGGCAATGTAGCAGGATACAAAATCCAACACCCAAAAATCAATGGCTTTTTTATACACTAATTATGAATTCTCAGAAAGAGAAACTAAACAAACATTCCCATTTACCTTGGCAACCAAAAAATTAAGATACTTTGTAATAAACTTAACCCAAGGAGATAAAAGACTTGTACTCGGAAAACTAAAGGACACTGAAAAAAGAGAGAGAAGAAGATATAAACAAGTGGAAAAATATAACGTGTTTAATGATTCTTATACACTAATTATGAATTCTCAGAAAGAGAAACTAAACAAACATTCCCATTTACCTTGGCAACCAAAAAATTAAGATACTTTGTAATAAACTTAACCCAAGGAGATAAAAGACTTGTACTCGGAAAACTAAAGGACACTGAAAAAAGAGAGAGAAGAAGATATAAACAAGTGGAAAAATATAACGTGTTTAATGATTCGTAGAATCGACATCATTAAAATGTCCATGCTACCCAAAGTAATCTACAGATTCAATGCAATTCCTATTAAAATACCAACAGCGTATTTCACAGACCTAGAACAAACACTCCAAAAATGTATATGGAACCAAAAAGGACCCCAAATAGCTCCAGCAATCTGAGAAAGAAGCAAAGTTGGAGGGATCCCAATACCAGATATCAAGTTATACTTCAAAGCCACCGTAATCAAAGCAGCCTGGTACTGGCACAAGAACAAACATATAGATTGGTGGAACAGAACAGAGAATAATCAAAACTGTGTAGTCCTGGCATAA